CAGTTGGCCATTTTACCTTTGTATTGTGGATCTAATAGGGTGGTCAGCCAAACTTGGCAATTTGAATTCTGTGACCCTTGCATGAGCATTTAAGCATAAAAGATCCTATTTGCAACAAATTGTCTGCAGCAAGGACTCCAAGTATTTTGTATTGCTGAGGACAATGCTGTCCTCAATAATATCACCCCATGCATGTATAACATTCAGTGTTTGGGAGAGGTGAAATGTCTCCTATGAAAATCTTTCCCATTTCTTTCTCCTCTTTCTCATATTCCTCCTTAGCATCCTGCTGTCTTTGCCTCACAGGGATGGAGGTGGTAGGCAAAGGTTCCAACTGGTACTAAGATGGCAGCAAGTCCTCCTGTCTGCATCCTTTCCTAAGCCACCAGAAGACTGACCAAATGTGCCTTGAAGGATATGTAATGTTCCTGCTTATGGTTACTGGACCACATTTCCATAGTCATATGTACCCTGCCACTGACAGCGTCTATTAATAACTCATAAACATTAGGTTCCACATGTGGAATGTGGAAAATAATGGCAGCTGGATATCTGCCAATAGGGTGTGGCTTAGGTCATATACCCACAAAAGGAGGCTGACTCCATGAACTTGAATGGAAACAGCTGTAAAGACAGCAGTATGGTCAAGCTAACAATAAGAGGTTGGGCAGGAGTGTGATTTGGGGATATATTTTCTTCTGCTCCAAGTGTGGAAGAAACACCTGCCTTGGGAAGCATGCTGCTGGCAATGCTGGGGTGCATGTGAATTCTGCAGAGGTTCAAGCCTTTGCTTGACCTTCCTCAGCATGAAGCAATGACCCTCTTTCTGACTTGATGGGGCATATCCTACGTCTCTCCCTTTCCCTAGAGGCAGCAGAAGAATTTTGTGTTGCAAGAAGCTGATGCAGAAAGTGAAGAAAGAAGAGGAGGAGTGCGTGACATTTGTTGCTGACTTGTCTAATGGAGGTGCTTCTCCCACAGAGCCCTGTTGTGCAGTTATGTTTTTACTCATGTGTCGTGGTACCTAAATGGCTGGTGGTCTAACCACAGATGATACCAGGGGCGGACTGACCATTTAGGCACTCGGGCACAGCCCGAGGGCCCGGGGTCAGTAGGGGGCCCCATGAGATGCCCCTGATACCTTTCATAGGCTTTTTTGGGCGTGATTTGAGTGTGGGCAAGGACACAGGGGCCCAATGATTTCCTATTGCCTGGGGGCCCCATGAGTTGTCAGTCCGCCCCTGGCAGGGGCGGACGGACCATTTGGAAACTCGGGCACTGCCCAAGGGCCTGGGGTCAGTAGGGGGCCCATGAGATGCCCCTAGTACCTTTTTCATAGGCTTTTTTTTGAGTTTGGACAAGGACACAGGGCCCCATGATCCCCTATTGCCTGCGGGCCCCATGAGTTGTCAGTCCGCCCCTGACCAGAAGAGACTATTATGCATGTATCCCTATGTTCTAATAGTTTACATGTAGCTGCCCATAGCTTCTTGAGTGTGTATCTAAATCCTTGTGACAAACAGAGTATCTCTGTCCTATTGTTATTATCTCACATGCAGATGTGCCAGAACCAGATATGCCAGATGAGCAAGATAGCTAGGTCTGTGCTACTGTATGTGTGTGTCCTCTCCAATATATTAGCATGTGAACTTGTTTATTGCAATAAAGTTTATTTGCAGCCCTGGTTTTTCTAGTTAACCCTGTCTTTTCTGGTCTGGGATTCTATAGCCAGTTTTTCTTAGGGCTTGATAACCAGCAGGCTAGAGCCAGATTAGGCATCTGATTGCCACTTCTAGATCATTAGCTTAGAAGGCCAGTGGTCAGATCAGAAACTTCTAGGGAGGGACTAAGGGTAGAGTAGATAGGCTGACTCTGAGATCCATTGCCACAGTTCTAGTACTACACCACAGTTCCTGCTGGTGAGAAGCTCTGTTCCAAACTGGTTAAACAACAGTTGGAAGATCTCCTATGACTGTAGATCTTGTCTTTGGGTCTCCAATACAAAGACAGATGCCACATCATCCTCAGGTGCACCTGCAACTGGACTTTGCGGCAAAATTTATCTGGAGGTATCTCTGATAATAACTATATATACAAAGGTATATATGCTCAATTCCACCAGGACTCCTGTCGGGCCCTTTGCACACATCCTGTTAGCACTTTGAATGTGTGCACTGTTATTAATCTCTTCTTTCTTATGGTTATTATACTGGTTGCAGTAGTTCCTCTGCCACCAATTACCTTGATTAGATTACTTGTAAATTTTCCAGGAAGGGAATCACCTTTGTTCACAGAGACCCTGTCAGGGGTGTCCTGGGTGGAGGCACTACCAACTTTATTATCAAACCCACTCTTTCACTTAACCAGGGTTCTGGTTCTCATGTTCCTACTGATATTGTGCCGTATCCTTTTTTTTTGGGAGGGACATTTTTCATATCCCCCTCAAAAGAGGGCTGCACAAATACAAGCCCCCCCCACATGAATAAGTAATATATATATATTATCCCTACTCATTTACACAAAAACATCTAGCATATAAATAGACATCCAAATGTTTGGCAAGTCCTTTGTTAAAAAAATAACAATTCCCCCAAAAAAGTCCATCATTGTAAATCCATTGTCAGTCACAATGCTGCCACCCACCAACTTGCTGAAATTAAAAACTCAGCAGACCCAGCACACACAACTGATCACAATGGTACTGCTCACTGAATTGCAGCTCCAAAAGCTGTAATCAGCTATATAAGGGAAGGGGTGTTGATAATACAGACATCGTTGACCAAATATGGCCAGTGAACATATTTGTGCAATGATGCCCCTGCTGTTCCTGCTTCTTTGATTGGCAGCACCTCCTGCTTCCTTAGGAACCATTGACAGCTGGATGCTTTCATATATAGAAACAGAAAAAATACTGCTTCTATATATGATGCTCAGCTCCCACTGAGCAGGGGTCCACACAGGCAAAGTTTGGGTGTTCGTCCAAACACCACAAAAGCAAATTTCTGTTTGAACTATTGGCATATCTCTATCTGCCACACTGCGATGCACAGTTATTTAGCAAAGTATAACATTGTATAGCAACTAACACTCCCTACACAGACTGTCAACTCTCCTTACTCTGTTCTAACTGAAACTGTCAAGTTTCTGCTGGGAGCCCATCCTCTGGAGTGAGCAGGCACATACTAAAGCTGGCCATTCTAACTCTCCCAACCACAGTTGAAAGATGAGCCAGGTAGTTTTTTTTGGTCCATCCAATTTCAGATGGATTGGATTTCTTAGTCATTATCCTAGACTTCAGTGAAATTTAGAATCTTTAGAATGATTTTAAATTGTTAGTCCCTATCCAACCATATAGACCTTATACATTTTACCAGGAGGAATGAGCAAACATTTCAGGGTCTAGAGGTACCAAAGTATTTCCCATAGTATTCACAGCTTTAATTGCTGCCATGAGAAATTCCACCAGGCACTGCCTCAGGGAAGAAGAATACTTATCAAATAACAAATATCTAATTTTGATTAATTAGCACAATACAAATATTTAGCACTTATATTGGGTAAATCAAATCTAAAATAATCTAAAAATCCTAATAAAATGTTTTTTTTTAATTTTAGGTTGTAACACTAAAAAATGTGGAAACGTCCAAGACGGGTGAATACTTGCGCAAAGTAATGTTTCGTATTTCAGATTTTTTTTTGTATTACACTTAAGAAAATACACATGTCCATCAAGTTACTTAAAGACAACATTACATTTAAAAAAGCTTGCATCCTCAGATATGTAAATCCACAGGTTATCCAAAGAAAGGCAAAAAACCCCTTGTAATGAGTAACCTAACTTGCTCATACAAGGAAAAAATCCTTTCTAGTCCTCAAAGGCAATCAGATGCTTCCTGGATCAACAATCTGCAGTGTTTTTTCTTATAAATAGTCAGTTATATTTTCTGCAATTCACACCCTTTCTATTTTAAAGCAATCTACAAAGCGTGCTAGAACTAGCTCCTGTAAGGAAGTCTTTCCATATGCAGAGGTTAAACCCCTTCTTTTCCAAGCAAAAACAGGCTCACTTGTCAATTGCAATGACCTTAAAACATTTCACAAACATTACGATATTGATCATGTATGTATTTATATTGTGCAGTCATGTCACCTTTAAATGCTTTGTTGGAAGGTGAATAAATTCAGTGCAGGTAAACTTTCTTTATAGCTGAGTTTTTCCATGCTGTTTATTAATTTAGTTGTCTTCGGTGCACTGATTCCAGTTCTATGATGCACTTTTTTGTAAACTGCTGTCCAAAATAACAGTGACAAGATACTAAGACTAATTTACATAGGTAGTTGAGAACCTTCACACAACAAATTTACTTAAATTATCCAATCATGTGAAAAACAAATTCCTGTTTACTTATTTCATCTCTGCACATGACAGGATAATTGAAGTAAATATTCACATAATTTTTAGTTTGAGAATATTCTCAACCCTTTTAGTAAATCCTCTTCTCTCTCTCACTCTGCTGAGTCTATCCCTCCTTTAATACAGTGAAGTACCTTGCCCACTTTAGATGTTGCAGATTGGCATCATCACTCATCAAGGTGTTCCCCTTCTAGGATAAATGCATGTTTTCAGCTTCTAAGTGCATAACATTACATATATTAACATTAAACCTTATTCTACCACATTAAACTTTCATATGTAGTTGCCCAATCATAATTGTTTATTTTTATTGTGTTTTTTTTTAATTTTATTTTAAACATACTTTATTGCTTTCATAGTCTGCCCAGGTTTTGATATGATAGTCTCATGGTTCTCTAAGGGGACTAGTGACAAAATGGCTATTAAGCCATCTGATATCTCCAGTGCAAGGATTGTAATGCCCCTTGGAATGAAACTTATATATGGCACTATACTGTAGACCAGGGGTGGCGAACACGCGGCTCTCGAGCCGCGTGCGGCTCCCGGACAAAATGAATGCGGCTCTTTGCCTCTTATCATATTTTGCACAGGTGGGTGGCACTGGTGGGCACAGGTGGGTGGGCACAGGTGGGTGGCACTGCTGGGCACAGGTAGGTGGCACTTCTGGGCACAGGTAGGTGGCACTGCAGAGTGGCACAGGTGGGTGCACTGCTGGGAACAGGTGGGTGCACTGCTGGGCACAGGTGGGCGGAGCTAGTGGGCGCACTGCTGGGCACAGGTGGGCGGAACTTGCGGGCGGCACTGCTGGGCACCGATCATCAGGGCACTGATCATCAGTGCCCTGATGATCGGTGCCGATCCCCGCTCTGACAACTGCCAGTTCTCGGCAGTACTTTCCTCACGATCTGACAGCGTGAGGAAAGTGCAGCCGAGAACCGGCACTTGCATTTTCCTCTGATCAGCGTGTCATTGGACACCGCTGATCACGTGGTAAAAGGCCGCTGTGATTGGCCTTTTACCACATCACGTGATCAGCTGTGTCCGTAGGACACAGCGATCACGGAGATTGCCGGGTGCGCGCCCCCTGGGGCGCGCAGGAGAGCACGTTCTGGGAGGACGTCATATGACGTCCACCCAGAACTGGCCGGCCGCAGTGCAGCCATCATTCGGCTATCTGCGGTCGGCTACTAGGTAAGGGGAAGAAAGTGTTATGGTGAATAATATGGTTTTAATTATGTGTTTTTGTGTGAGTGTTTGTCTGTTTTGGCAGGTCACTGCATGGTGTGGCTCTCTGACTTTCACAGTTTAAAATTTTGGCTCTTTATGTCTAACTTGTTCGCCACCCCTGCTGTAGACCTTGTGAGTCTGAAAGATCCTGATGTCTCCTATTTTTTGTAGAAAGAGATCAGGACTTGGACACTGACAGAGACCCTGGAAGTACTCAGTATTAAGTGCTTCGGGGTAAACATTGAAGGAGCTCTGTTAGCACTAAAAGACATTATGGAGATTCTGTTCTGTACTGAGTAGATGGGCTATCATATCACCTTTATTACCTTTATTTCACTAAAGATGAATTTATATCATGCTTTCCAATGCTATTGTTTTTTATACATATCATTTTTTATAACTTGCAATCTGTACCTTTAAATTTGTATTCAGCATTGCTTCAGGACGAGCCGTCCGCTCTGATTGACACCCCATCCCCTGCTAATTACACTCAGCCAGCCTTCCCTTTAATGGTCTTCTATATAATGGCCGCCGGCCATGGTTACCAGAGACTTGACAAAGCGCAACTGCGCGAAACATGTCGTCTTGGTAACCCCACATATGCTCCCAGCTGAAGCCAACGCCGGACACTGCCTTCGTTTGCCATGGTGACACCACCCAGGACGCTGGTACGCTGACACCACGTGATTTGAAGCCGACAGGAGCATTCTTTGATCTCAGCTCCCCTCAGAGCGGACGGGCCGTCTATTGGAATCACACTGTCCACTTCAGGCTGGTTAATTTTATTATACTTGCTACTTTATCTCACCCAATAAAGATGCACCTCCACTAAGGTGCTTGTCTGAGAGCATTTTCCACAGCGCCTTTTTTTCCAGTTCTCTTCATCATGCATATGATTAACAAGGCAGCAGTGGTGAGCTCATGATTAACTGTTCACATGTTTCCACCTGGAGTGGCCTCTCTGCGCTCATTTGTATGAGTTTTCCTTTCACAAGCCCCGTTTGGCTTTTTTCCTTTAGAGCTGCATGGTACTCCATGGTAATTTGACTTTTGTCTACTACTGGGAATTCAGAGCCTACAAGTGTACGTTCATCCATATTACTTACCACATACAACAACCCTTTTCCCTTGAAGGCTTGGTTTCATTCAACCCCCCCCCTCCCTTTTCGGTTTCAAAGTGATGTTCCACTAACTTACAAGTTGCCATTACATGCAGTTTTCTATGAAGATCTGGCTAGATAGACTTTTATTCTACGTATTGCATGACACACTTCATGCGTTTTCATTTCTATTTTTGGACTTACTGAAGTGTTCAAAACGCACTTATTATCATCAAACACTGTCTGCGAACAGTAAATAAAGTCTGCTTTTATATGGTATTATATGATATAGTCTATATGGTTTTACCAATTCCTTATTGTATAGAAGAGTTATAATATAATTTTTTTTTGCACCACAACGCACTTTTTTTTTTTTTTTTTTTTTTTTTTTTTTTTTTTTTTTTTTTTTTTTTTTTTTTTTTCTCCTTCCCTTGCTTCTCTCCCACCATGGCCAACTTGAGATACACCAGATTACAGTCTATATTTAGTCATTTGAATTCCCACCAAACAAACACCCAATTACATGCTATTTTATCTCCTAAAGAAATAACACCTCCTCATACAAAAGACTATGAAAATAGAATGAGACAAGCTTTTGTTCAGTTGCAATATGCAAAACAGTTTGAAAATGCACAATGGTGGGACCTCTCTTTCCTTAAAAAATATTTAGAACTTGGGATAACACCAAGAGGCCTACGCATTAAAAAACACTGTGATTTTCTTGATGACGACCTCAAAAAAGACTGGGAACTGATCTCTGAGTTCTGCACTACCAAATGGATTAAATTAATCATCCAACAAAGGGAACGCAAACTAAAACTGGCAGAAACCAAAATTAAGGAAAAAGAAAATAAAATTCAAGAGTTCAGCTCCTCATGTCTTTACCAAAAATGGAGAAAAACATTAGATACCAATATTCTTAAAAATGAGGATGACATAGTATCCAAAAAACTAGGAAAATTAGATAGAGATATCGAAGACTACAAGTTAGGTCACATCTTTACATGGAACAGAAAACAAAGTAAGATCAATATTCCCTCTGTTACAAAGTTTCCCCCCACAGAGATTCCCAAAAAATTTAACAAACATAAACGACCTCATAATTACTTAAAACCCCTTCCCCCTTCCTCCTCCATCCAACATACACCCAGCACGACCTTTCCAACACCATCATCATCCATTGAATCTACATCTATTAATCTATTAATTCAACATTCCGATGCCATTGGTGTTTCCCTGCCTAACCCTCCCCCTCCCAACAATGTCACAACCTCCAGTAATAATCTTTCCAATCCCATCTCATCCATTAGCACAGATTTACCACTAAACAATTCTTTTTCAATTCCTACTCCAAACCGTTATGGTCCTTTATCTCAGGACCTAAATTCCTTCATCACAGGAAATTCTATACCCCCTTCCCGACTACCATCAGAAAGTGATCCCAGCTCCCTTTCACAAGTTTTTTTAGAGACCCTCCCAATGGGGACAGTAAAAGAAAAAAGAAAACTAGAAGAGGCAGACGTGGTGGAAAGAGATTCCAGGCTAAAAAAGAAAGAGAAACTAGACTCACCGAGCACAATAGTACAGTAAAGATTTTTAATCTCTCCTCACACATACTATCTAATGATGAGCTATCTTTACTCCGGAAAGGACTCAGTTTCTCCCCTGCATCTGGTCCTAACAAATTTTACCTATTTCAAGACCTAAATCGTTTTGTTCGGTCTTTAACTATCAAAAGACATTTTTCTAATATCTCCCCATCTGACACTGATCCCCAAACTATTAGTATTGATTCTCATACTATCAATACAGACACTTCTCTTCAAGAAGATGATAGAATATTTAGTCCAGATGCTAGAGGATCTATGGATGGAAAGCCATCCTTCTAACATGCAAACACCTAAGATTTCCTTAGACCCAGATATCATTCACACCAGTTTTAAATCCAAATCCAGTTTCTTTCCAGTACAGTCCAAGGGACCATACATTGAGACCTTCTACCAGGCAGCTTATAAAGATCTTCTCAGCTTGTGCAATAAGCCACCTATCAGTTATAACATGAGCAATTCCGAAGCACAAGCCCTAAAAGACTTAGAGAACAATAAAAACATTGTCATCAAGCAAGCTGATAAAGGAGGAAGTCTTGTTGTACAACACACCAGTGATTACATCAATGAGTCCATTCGTCTCCTTTCCGATATCGATACATATCAGTTACTAAAGGCAGATCCCTTACCAGAATATCAAATAGCCCTCAAATTACTCATTGACAAAGCCTATAATGATAGCGTAATTAATAAGAGAGAAAAGTCTTTTCTCCTTCCCCCTATTTGTAGTACCCCATATTTTTATCATTTGCCAAAAATACACAAATCTACTACACATCCCCCTGGCCGTCCTATTATTGCAAGCACCAATAGTTTTACTAATGGCCTTTCTAAATACATCGACCATTTTCTCCAACCATTAGTTGTACAATTGCCGTCATACATCAGAGACTCCAGTCATGTGATAGAAATCCTCAGCCATTATCAGTGGAAACATGGGTATCATTGGGCATCACTTGATGTAACTTCCTTATACACATCAATCCCCCACCACATAGGCCTACAGGCTCTTCAATATTTCTTATCTTCTGAAAGTTCTATCAACTCCACCCAAGCCAAATTTATTATTGAATGTACAGAATTTTGCCTTACCCATAATTATTTTACATTCCTTGACCAATTTTACTTGCAAACTAAAGGGACTGCGATGGGAGCGAATTTCGCCCCTTGTTACGCCAATCTCACAATGGGCTTTTGGGAGAAACAATATATACAAATAAACAACCCCTTTGCCAAATATATCATTTTTTTTGGGCGCTATATTGATGACATTTTATTAATCTGGGATGGTGATTTAAACGAATTTTTATCTTTTGTCGCATATTGCAATTCAAACTACCTTGGACTTTCTTTTACTCATGTTTTTAACTCTCAAGATATAATCTTTTTAGACTTGGTTTTGTCAGTCACAGATAATGAAATTTGTAGTACAAATTACACCAAACCCACTAGTGGGAACCCATATCTACACTATTCTAGCTGTCACCATCCAGCCTGGAAAAATAATATTCCCAGTGGCCAATTCCAAAGACTAAGGAAGAACTGTTCAAAATTATGTGATTACCAAGAACAAGGTTCTCTCCTTTCAAAAAAGTTTTCTGAGAAAGGCTATCCCCCTTCCCTTATAAAAAACGCATATACCAAACATAGCGTATTGATAGACCGAACATACACTCAGGCCCGTGACCAGTCTAACTCGGTTAGGTTCATCACTGGTTTCAACACATCACATCGTGATATTACAAACATCATTCGCAAACACTGGCACATTTTACAATTAGATCCTAGATTAGCACCTAATCTCCCACGCGCCCCACAAGTAACTTTCAAGAGAGCCCGTTGTTTGAAAAACATTCTAGCCCCAAGCAAAATGTCACTGTCCACCTACATAGACAACGGCCCCCTTCCTACATTTGACGACAGAATTGGTATCTACAGATGCAACAAAAGAGGTTGTCTCACCTGTAAGTCCATCACCCATGGTAGATCACAGTTTTTGGACTCCCAGGGCAAC